CTCATTTTCGTTTAGTTGAAGTTGAAGTACTAAAATAACTAAAACTAAATAAACTAAAACTTATAAAATTAGATAAAACTAAAAACTATAGACATACAGTATTTTAAAAAATGGATAAAACCTTAACTAAAATAGATTTGATCTCATTTAAAATAGTCCTAGTGTGACAAATATTTTTTTGAAAAGAAAAATGTTCCATGTAATATCTCAAAATACTTAATGGTATATTAAAATAGTTTGAGATTCATTATAACGTGACTTTACTGGACACATATAGAGAAGCTTACAGTCTATGTCATTGACTCTATAGCATGTGACCATGGACCACAAAAGCAGTCATAAGGGTCGATTTTTCGAAATTGAGATGTATACATCATCTGAAAGCTGAATAAATAAGCTTTCCATTGATGTATGGTTTGTTATGACAATATTATATATAGGACAATATTTGGCCGAGATACAACTATTTGAAAATCTGGAATCTGAGGGTGCAAAAAAATCAAAATATTGAGAAAATCGACTTAAGACTGGTTTTGTGCTCCAGGGTCACATATATGTAGGGAACGCAGGGCGCTAATCCAGTGAATGAAAACAGGATTTGCCTCTATAGAAAACAGTGATCAGCAGCATGGAAATAATCAGACTCTTGGCTGCAAATCAATCCCACATCGCACAGCCACTCAAGCTGGACAATGTGTTTTCAAAGCAGTGCCCCCTCCGCTCACATACCAAACAACAGCTTGCTAAAAATAAATTCACGAGCCACATCTCCAGGGCGTTTTGCCATCCTTCTGGGAATGCGCAGCCATATGCTTAGCTCCATCTCATCCTCGCTGTCGTCCCCGTCACATGACACACGAGCTCATTAGCCAGTCCACACAGCAAGGACGCACGCGGAAGGGGAAACAACAATGTGAAAAGGTCAACTGCAGATGTCAGAGAGTGACGGGAATACTGAAAGAGCGAGCACGTGAAATGAGGGAACAAAACTGGCTTTAAACTTTTAAATTTAAATTTAACTACTTTAAATAAGCTCATTAGACAGATTGCCTGTTTCCCAAAGCCCCCTTCCACTTTTTTAACTCTCACGCCAGTACTGCTAGACTTCATCTTTTTTTTTTTTTTTACTTTCTAATGCTTGTACAATTACTCTACAAGCAGTTTCATGACATTATAATAACTGAGAGACTACATTAACTACATGGAATAATAGATGTCACACTACAGAACTGTTTAGGAAGGCGATTACGATGATCTCACAATCATGGAAAATCTAGAAATATCAGAAAAAAAAAAAAAACTGTGATGTACAGGCCTGAAAAAAAAAAATAGACATTAATATCTTTAAAAAGTCACTGAATTTCTAAAGTGAATATGACCTTTTCTGTTAGGGATGTAACGATTAACTGCGAGCCAATTTCACTAAGAAATGTGCAGCATTTTGTCCAAGCAATAATAAAAGGACACATTTAATTTATAATTTGTCTTAAATCTCATTTTGTAAAAAAAAAAAAAATCGTGAATCGAATCGAATCGTGAAATCAAAACCGTGAATCGAATCGTGAGTTGAGTGAATCGTTACATCCCTATTTTCTATTAATGTTCATCTAAAAATTTTGTCAGATAGAAATTGTTCTTTGTGCGCTGGATGTAAAAATATAAATATTTGTTAAAATGTGTAAAATGTTTCTTTTAAATCCTTATCCAGTAATCATAAGTCAATAGCAGGGTTATTTTCATTAACTAAACAAAATAATTATATTATTATTATTATTATTATTAATTGATTAAAAAATACATAAATAAAAATAGAAAATGCCAAAACACACAGCAAATTTAAAATGAAATAAAAAAAGATGTAAAACTAAAAACTCAAACTCAAAACTTAAACTGTAAAAAAAAAATATAGACATATAAAAAACGAATAAAAATGACAAAAACACACAATTGAAAGGAAATCAGAAAATGTCAAAATATATCCTAATTCAAAATATCAACAAAAACTATCATCGTATATCAGATTTTAAAATAACACTAGACATAACAACAACAAAAAAAAGACATGGAAAAATCATATATAAATTAAATTAATTTCAAAGAAAATTGTAAAAAATGAAAGAAAAAATTAGGTTATAGTAAAAAGTTTCTTTTTCACATATACACTTTAACCTAAAATAAAAATAACCATATATAAACTATACAAATAGTCCCTCTGCTTTCCTTGCAAAATGACCAGCTTCCACCGTTGGACCGTCACGCTCCTGAGATCTGATCCTCCAAAACCTAACTTGACAATTATTATTCACAGTCATCATCTCATTTAAAAGTGAAATAAATAGTGAAAAGGAAAAAGTCTGGCGACTATTCATGTTAACCTGGTTTTTAACCCTGTTACTGTGTAACCTTGTGCTCACCTCTGATATCTGGCCAGAGGAAGTGGATATGGAGGTTGTTCATTTAATACTCTAGACCAGAGGTCTTCAACCACATTCAGGCTAAAGACCTTTTTCTTGGCTAGAGAGACGCAACAGGTGTTACATATCATATCAAATGTTGTATTCACATATTTGTTATGATGCTTAAAAAAGCAAAGCCATTTGCCAATATTGATGTACAGAGTCATATGCAGTACATACTACAGTACATTTTCATCGGAATAAATACATTTTATTGACAATGGAGCTGAACTTGAGCTTCTTAACTTTTGTTGAAGTACTGACTTCCTGCAGAAAAAAGACACATTAACTGTATAACTGCAAGACGTTTATTAAGAAAAACGGGTAACACATCATTACTTGGACAACTGAAATCAACGTCTAAGTGTAGCTGAAAAAAATGGTCAAGAATAGCTAATCAACGCTTTGACTATGAAACAACAATAACAACAGCAGCGGCGGCCAGCAGACTATTCCCAAGAATTGCAAATGAGATTAGGCTGTCTTACGTAACATGTGCGACTAAAGCCCAGATTCAGGATACTACACACCTAGCAGTAACACTCGTCACTGACCAAAACATCTAATAAGATGAAAATCTACGTCAAATCACTGGGCAAATTAAAATCTAGGACTGTGGCCTCTCTGTAAGGCTGACATGTCCAATGCAAACAACACAAAGAACATCTAATGCGCAGGAAATGAAACATGCACCAACAGAGGATCTCAGAGAGAGGGGTGTATTTCACGAGAAAGCTGCTCATAATAACGGTCTAAGTATGAGAACAATGTTTGAGCCACCGCAGCGAGGGCTTCAGCGGGAGTTTGAGCTACTCCCAGTTTGTGTTAATAGAAAGTGCTGCTTTTTCATATTGTTCAGGCCAGTGTTCTTATTGTTAACTTAAACCTAAAACTATTAAATTTGATTTAAAAAAAAACTATTTCAGTTCATTGAAATAAAGCTGAGATAAATAATATTACACAAAAAAAGTTGCATTTAAAATGAAACACTTAAATGAAAATTAGAAATAACTGAGATAAATAAGATGAAGACCAATATTACTTAAAGTAAAACTGGAATAAAAACTGAAATATATATTTTTTAAAAACTTCAAAAAATAAAATAAAAATTAAATATGCACACATAAAAATGAAAGCTTAATATTGATACTATATATTAGGGCTGTGCAATATATGGAAATTATCGAAATATCGCAAATGTACATATCGCAATATGCATATTGCTACAGCTTGCAATATTTGGGGCCATGAACAAAAGAAAAAGAGAAAATCACTCACTGCTCTTACCTAAATAACTTTTGTAGCTTAAATACGAATCAGTGCATATTGAATTCAAAGAGTAAATTCTAAGCAGTTTTTTATTTTTCCTTTTTATTATTCAGTTCCTAAACTCATGTTAAAATGATTACTATATATATATATATAAATAAACACAAATGCATAATATGTCTGTATACTAAAATAAGACTGGTTTAGACATTAACATTCACTTACTTAGTAAATTAACTTAAAAATAATAGTTCCAAAAGGGGTTTTTCACAGCGATGCCATTTTTGGTTCCCAACATTTCCCAGTAAACAGTTATTAAAATCACTGTTTTTTTCTTAGTGTAAAGAACATTTTTTATAATTTAAAGAACCTTTTTCCACTATAAGGAACCTGCACTGGAAAGATTCCATGAATGTTAAAGGTTCTTCATGAAACCATCAATGCCAATAAAGAACATTTACTTTCACAAGCATTGGCTTTTCTCATAAACACCTTCAAAAATGTCATATTGACTCCCTTTAGACCTTTCTATTTTAGCTTTCAACCATTGTATGAATCTCTGTGAAACAACAGAAGTTCTCTGATGTCCAAGGTTTCCATAAGAAGAGTTAATTTCCCTATAACCAAAGGAGACACAACATGCACTGAAGCATTGTGTACGAAACATCGATGACAGTAAAACAAAATGAGGATGAAAGTTTGCTCTCCTTTTTCTAAAAGAACAGGCTGATTATATATTCTACACAATTATACTTTCTTATTACACAGTGTTTGGCACACAGCAGATGGGGCCATGTAGAACATGTCAAGCTCCATCAGGAGGTTCATTAACCATGTCTGAATGTCTAATGAACTTAAATATTACTCAGCCATTCACTCCATCAGAGATATTTATAAACCAAATAAAGAGTGATATGCTGATGTAGGTTACAATACACACCCCGCCCCCTCAAACACACACACACACACACACACAACACAAATGCACACACATGCAATGTGTGTGTATCATCTCACACAATCTCATTTATTTGGTCACCATTTAAACCATTAGCCACTATGTAAACTAACAACAAAACTGCTTGACAGTGCAGAGGGGCATTACACAGACGATCACACACGGGCTGCGTCCCAACTTCTAGTGAGCACTACCTAGACAGCATTTTTGTCTAGGTAGGCAGCGCACTAGGTTTTGGAACACAGCCTGCGCTTGCACGGAGCAGCATATGTACAGTATGAGTAGCGTGCTGGAAAAGTGAGCAGAAAGTGAGTTACCTTTGGAGTAGAGGGACTTGGGCGAATCGAGGTCGATATCCGCGCTAAAGAGCGATGTGAAATCAGAGGGCATCGCAGTGCCTCCGATCCGCCAAGAAAATGACACGGACTTGCTCTTCAAGTGCAGCGCCTAACAAACTGCCATGGTTTAGTTTGGCCGAATCGAAAAACCAAAACAAACGAAAGCCAGGTGCAGAGAAAGCAGGCAGTGACACTTCTGAATGTCATAAATAAAGCGTTTGCGTCGCTCCGTGCTCTTCGTAGTGTGCGCGCGCGTGTGTGTGTGTGTGTGTGTAAACACTCCGCCAGCGAGCGCCACTCTGTTTAGTTTGTCTGTTTCCTCTGCGGCCACGCCCACTCCACGCGTCATCACTTCACAACACTACTGAGCTTACTCTGTCCAAATTTATGGATATTGACGAAAACCGCTCATTGTGTTTAGATCAACCAGAAAAAAATTGTACATCATTTTTTTTAATGAATGTTACCATTCAGAACAGTTTTGGCGAGATTTATCCTTGTACGTCCAAGAGAAAACTGGTTATAGGCTAGTTGTGATTTGACCTCAAAATATGTTTTAATCAGTGTTGGGAAGGTTACTTTGGAAATGTAATAGGTTACAGATTACAAGTTACCCTACTTAAAATGTAATACGTAGTGTAACTTTTCAATTACTTTATTAAATAATGTAACTGACTACATTTGTTTACTTTTTGATTACTTTTCTAAATGTCTAATATTTTCAACTGTTTGTAATTTAATTACATATTTTTTCTTAGTAACTGTAACTGATTACAATTACTTTTATTTTGTAATTAAATTACGTAATTCCGTTACATGTAACTAGTTACTCCCCAACACTGGTTTTAATATAGCCTATTTTGAATCAAAAAGTATATCTGTTAACTTTATGCTAAATCTTATGATTTTATTTGGTAAATTTCATAGGCTATTCATAAAAGTAGAAGAAATAATTATAATCCTTGTTTAAAGGTTTTTATGGTTGTATATGGATACTCTCCAATGTATTGATAGTAAAAAATGTAAAGATACAATTTGCCAAAGAGTTCAAGTTAATTGGAATATTGACATTTTGGTTGTATTTTTTTTTCGTATTCTTGTCAAATTGCATTTTTGTATATTTATATCTGAAATGTAAATTGTAAACCCGATTTTTTTTTTCTAATTATTTATTTGGATGTCTTGTTAGAATTGTACAAGTTTCTGTTTTGTTGTAGTTTCTAATTAAAAAAATAAATAAAAACACTGAGATTAATTAGGCTAGATTAAATCTTAGCTAATAGAACTCAGATCACTTTACCTACCTGGATAAGTTTTTGAATGATAAAGAATAATAAATTCAGTAATATGTTGGAAAGAATTCTGGGGGGAATTCTCCCGTCCAAAAAAAAGTTGTAGAAATGTCTTTTTACTGTGATCCAGTAAACTATAAACATGCAAAGTTCAATGACAGTATTTCACCAAGGGGCTCCTTTTGTCATCACTGTAAGGATACCTACCTTAATTACCTACTTATTTTGTAATTGTGTTGACTGCAAAGTGATTTGGGTTGACATTTCTAATTTTGTTAAAAGGAATTCATTATCGAACGTCTGCAACAAGGAAAGTTGTAAAAAAAATAAAAATAAAAAAAATAAAAAACGGAGGGACTCATGCAACTAATACAAAAAGTTCAAGCAGTCACCGATGCTCCAGAAGGAAACACGATGCATTAAGATCCAGGGGTGTAAACTTTTGAACAGAATGAAAATGTGTATATTTTTCTTATTTTGCCTAAATATCACATATTCTTTCATTTAGTACTGCTCTTCAGAAGCTACAGAAGATACTTGCATGTTTCCAGAAGACAAAATAAGTTCAATTTACCCTGATCTTCAAACTATCTTCTCCACGCAGGCTCATAATGCATTGTTTTTTCTTCTGGAGCATCAGTGACCATTTGAACCTTTTGTAATAGTTGCATGTAAGTCCCTCAGTTGTCCTCAGTGAGAAAAGATGCATCTCAAAATCCTACATTCTATATTAGTGAAAGATGTTCAGGATCTTTGTGAGAAAACAAACCTGTGTGTTTGTGTTCAACAAAGCGCCCAATCAGTGTCTAGGAATCACGCCATCATGTCAGTGATGTTCCTGGGAAAAATTAAACCATTATTGTCTAGAGACAACGCGAGCTGTGAGGACCGTTTGACACTGACACATGATTCATGTTCAGCATAGACTCACTATTGTCCTCACACAATGAACGTTAATATCAGGGTTGTGTGCTAGTCAGAACTGAATTAAGAATGCTTTTAAAATCCCAATTCAATTCCTGGATTTGAAATGAGGCAGAGAATTTTTGAGGAACAGAATTCCATTTCGAATTTGAATGTAAGGAAGTACAGCATTTAAAATCAACTGAAATTCAAATAATGTTAAAAAAATCATAGAGTTTGACTGTAATTGTCAACAAGAAAAGCTTGTCCATACAAACTTTAAATGTGTGAAAGTTTTATAGTTTAAAAGCCTTGAGGAGATGATGTAAGCAGCTGTTAATAAAGAATAATTAATTAATTGTATTACAGGATTGTATCATTATATATCCTGAGTATGAAAAAGAAACAAGTGAGATTATCTGATGATCACAATTGTTTAATAATTGACAGATCATCAGAAAAGCTACATTGAATAATCATTAATAACTCTCCTTTATAATACGTCTTGAGATATATCTCCATATGATTTGTTGTTAGTTGTCTTTCATATTAATACCAGGTTACTGTAGGCTACCACAGCAGTGTTAGTCATGCTCACAAAGTCCACTCAATTTGTGTATCACAATTACTTTAAAATTACATTTGACAAATTTCCAAAAGGTCAAGGACCTTAGTGTTTATAGCCCTGCTATCATTTTATCTATCATAGGTCATTCTGAGATGATTCATATCACAACAGTAAATTATTTGCCTCTGTTTACAAACAGATTATGCTGGGATAATTGGCACTTTTTAATTTTGTCAGTACATACAGTATATCAACTTACTATAATAACTGGGACTTCCATTTAACTAACTAACTAACTAACTAACTAACTAACTAAATAAATAAATACTGCTTATGCCTATGCATGAACGTAACACTAAAAAATTCCCACAGAAACAGGATAAACAGCACCATCTTGTGTATAAATGAGCGTTATAAATAATCAAAACAATTACAATGTTTCTGCATTCACCGATAAAAGGATATTGAATATTTTTGTTATTGCGCATTAATTATATCTAAATTGATAGTGTTATATTGTAATGCTCATCTTGGTTTTAGATCAAGAAACTATGCATTTGACGTATTAAAAACACAACGTTGACTTCAATTAAAGATTGTCAGGGTGTAATTCCTCCTCCAGGCCGCTGGGCGCTCGTGTGCTTCACGCTGAAGCGTCCCACATACGAAGCAGAAGCGGAAGAAGCGGCGCAGCGTCCGTCAAACTGGAGTGCTGAACAACAGAAAAGCATTATTTTTTCTTGAAATATTCGGATTTATTGGGTAAAAATGCCGGACTTAGCGGTCGAAAAGGTCGTCGTTCATCCCTTGGTGCTATTGAGTGTCGTGGACCATTTTAACAGGTAAATCTGAGTGTTGTGAAGGTGCTCTAGTGAAACTGTTAACTCACTGTCATTATGTGTCAATGAAAGTAGCCGCTACAAGCTAAAGGCTAACTGGATGCAATCACAGTCTGAAATACAATTATGCAAATAAACAATATTTTAAGAATGCTTTAGTTGAATATGTTATATTATGGTGATGCATACCGGCTTAGCTTTATAGCATTTAAAGTTTGTTGTAAAATGTTGTAGAAGCAAGCGGATATCTGACTAACTGCAAGTCAGTTATAAGTCAGCATTATATCACTGATGAAAAATCAACACATAAACTCCAGAATTTTATAATCTATTATAATTGAAATAATAACACGAAATGTTGTGCGCGTTTTCTTTATTATGTACTTTACATTTCTAATGTTGAATCATCCTGTTCTTGATACTGAACCTACTGTGATAAGTAACTTAATGTATGATATATATATATATATATACACACACACATACATACATTTATTGCATATGTCAAGTTATTAACGTTACAGTCATAGCTTTTAAAACAGACACTTTCAGACTAGGTTCGAGTATCATACATGATCTGACACAGCTCATATTCAAAGAGCCATTTGAAGATACCTTCAAAAACAGCGTTGCATTTGTCTATCTTTAGTGTTCTTTGCAAACCTTATCTTTGTTTTGTAGGATTGGTAAGGTTGGCACTCAGAAGCGAGTTGTGGGTGTTCTGCTGGGTTCATGGCATAAGAAAGTGCTTGATGTGTCCAACAGCTTTGCTGGTATGTTTGCAGCTCTTGGTGCAAAATGCACTTCTTTCCAGCTGAAATATAGCTGAAGTAATATTTTAATTGTGTGGCAGTGCCTTTTGATGAGGACGACAAGGATGATTCAGTTTGGTTCCTGGATCATGACTACCTGGAGAATATGTACGGCATGTTCAAGAAAGTGAATGGTAAGATTGCTTTACTATGCACAAGTAAAGAATTGATATCATACATATGCTTTATTGAGTCTGTCATGTCATTGTTATAGAACATGACCTCATGTCCAAGCTCATGGTTTTATTTCTTTCAATTCTAGCTAGGGAGCGAGTAGTTGGATGGTATCACACAGGCCCAAAGCTGCACAAAAATGATATTGCCATAAATGAACTCATGAAACAATACTGCTCTAATTCGGTATGTAATACTGTTTGTTTTACTAATGCTTAGTTTATTTTACACTACAGGTGCATCTCAATAAATTAGAATGTCGTGGAAAAGTTCATTTATTTCAGTAATTCAACTCAAATTGTGAAACATGTGTATTAAATAAATTCAGTGCACACAGACTGAAGTAGTTTAAGTCTTTGGTTCTTTTAATTGTGATGATTTTGGCTCACATTTAACAAAAACCCACCAACTCACTATCTCAACAAATTAGAATACTCCATAAGACCAATAAAAAAAACATTTTGAGTGAATTGTTGGCCTTCTCAAAAGTAAGTTCATTTACTGTACATGTACTCAATAACTTGGTAGGGTCTCCTTCTGCTTTAATTACTGCCTCAATTCGGCGTAGCATGGAGGTGATCAGTTTGTGGCACTACTGAGGTGGTATGGAAGCCCAGGTTTCTTTGACAGTGGCCTTCAGCTCATCTGCATTTTTTGGGCTCTTGTTTCTCATTTTCCTCTTGACAATACCCCATAGATTCTCTATGGGGTTCAGGTCTGGTGAGTTTGCTGGCCAGTCAAGCACATTTAATACACATGTTTCACAATTTGAGTTGAATTACTGAAATAAATGAACTTTTCCACGACATTCTAATTTATTGAGATGCACCTGTATATGTACCAAGCAAGTCATGTTTTAGACTGAAATAAAGATGTATTTTTATTTAGCAATTTCTTAGTAGTAGTAGTATTAAAAATGATGCAAGTAATATATACACTACCAGTCAAAAGTTTTTAGGCAGCAAGATTTTTTATGTTTTTTTTTTTTTTAAAGAATTCTCTTCTGCTCACCAAGCCTGCATTTATTTGATCCAAAATACAGCAAAAGCAGTAATATTGTGAAATATTTTTACTATTTAAAATAACTGCTTTCTATTAAAATATATTTTAAAATGTAATTTATTCCTGCGAGTTCAAAGCTGAATTTTTAGCATCATTACTCCACTCACATGATCCTTCAGAAATCATTCAAATATTCTGA